GGCTGCCACCCCTCCTGCTACACGTGCCAGGGGGCATCTGCCAACAACTGCACGGCCTGTCCCTCTGCCAGCACCTTCGATGAGCTCGCACGCTCCTGCTCCTCTCCACCAGGCCTCCCCTCCGAGGAGGGGCTGCAGAGCGACCTGCTCCCCGTCCTCATCAGCAGCAGCCTGATCCTCTCAGCCATCCTTTATGTCACGTACCGTGCGGCCTTTTGCGTTGTGAAGGGTAGCTCCTGCTGTCCCAGGGTTGGAAGGACAGCGTGACACCCGCAGCTGGATCCCAGCCTGGGACAGAGCTGCCCTCACCTGGCTTCTGAAATAAACCGGTTGTTGCCTTTCTGAACAACTCTGTCCCAAAAGTGACTTTCCTTCACAGCTCTGCTTGGGCTGATCCCATCCTGTGTCCAGCTCCATGCACTGGCAGACACAGAGGTGGCGGGTTCCCTCTCTACCTGGGTCATCCCCACCAGGGACCAGACGCATCCGGAGGGACCTGGCACGCTGCTGCAAGGGAGCTATTTCCAGCGAGGCCGGGAGCGCTGCGCCCTTTCCCAGGCACAGAGGACCATGGGGAGGAGGAGATGTGACTTCTCTCCAAACAGCTGCACCCGGGTGACTGCAGCCAGCTCCTCCAGCACAGCCCCAGCCATGAGCTCATGCAGCTTTTGCCAGAGCAGAGGCAGGCAGAGCCCAAACCCCTGCTTGGGGAGGACAGCCTGGACCTACAGTGCATGGTGCACCCGTTCTTGGTTACCAACAGCCTCCGCTACTTAAACAGGCTCTCAGGAGCCTGGCACTCATCCACAAGGAGCCCTGAGAAACAGGCACCCTTATAGCAGGGCTGCAAGAGGGGGCTTGAAGGCTCTGTGGGACACAGGGGTTTTGTCAGCACAGCCCAGAGCAGCCCCCCCTTCCCTAGATGGGGACACACACTCACCCCTTTCCCCAGGACAGGGGGGAGCAGACACCGGCCCCCACAATACTTGCCTTCAAGACGCAGCTTTGCCAGCTGGCCCTTCTCAGGGGTCACAGGCACCAAGGGGGTACATGAGACACTCCCCCCATCCCCTTCTCTCTGCCACATCTTGGTCCAACAGTGGCCAAGACCCCCAGATCCCTGCTGTTATCTCTGCTGGGTCTCTTTGCACAGGGGACAACTGACCCCAAACCCACCACGGCTGGAAAAACAAAGAGAACCCACGTAAGAGGCAGGGATAGGGTGGGCATGAAGGCTTTTATAAGGTGGAGAAACCTTCATGGCCCTAATCACCCCAAGGTGCTTCCACCTCCATTCCAGAGCACCTACATCACTCAGGTTTTACTGGGACCAGCTGGGGAGCCCAGCAGAGCCTTGGTTGACTCCAGGGCCGGTCTCTGGCTCTTGATGAATTACCCAATGTGCT